GGCTCTGTTGACCAATGAGTTGGCCGACCACTGCGTTAGGCGATAAGCCAACACGCGACCCAGACAGAAGGCCAGCGACCACATTGTTGAAGCGCTTCCCCAGCCTTGAACTGCCTACATCTGAGCTGCTTATTATGTGAGGAAAGTCACTGGGTTTTCTGTTACCTGCGGCTGACAGCCGTCATTTCTTTTAGCCACTGAGCATCCGAATTCCTGTGTGTGTGCAGGATTCCCTGCACTGCGAGTCTTGGTGAAGGGCAAAGACCGTTTCCTTGTCCCAGTTGGAGCTGAAAATGCCAGACACACATTCAAAGCCTCTTGCAGCCAGCACTCAGGCCTGTGACCCAGGCACTACCAGTAGCCTCAGAACGGCTACCACAGAGTCTGCTGAGACGCAGCAGCTGCACATGTCAGAGCTGCCGCATTTTGAATGTTACTTTAATGTCACTCAGCAGAGATTATATTATTCTTAAACATGAATAAAATTTATAATTCCAAGATTCCTGTTTTGAATTGGACTAAATGAACTGGGACATTTTGAGAGAATTCATTTGATTAAAAACAAAGAGCAAAAATCCCTCATCAATACACATTTATTACTTATATTTTCTTGTCTATAGAAGCATATTTTTTTCTTTTTTACTGATAACTAATCACTTCTATTTATTCAGAACATAACATACTTTTTATACCCATAGATGATCCTACGTTAAAACCCTATTTAAAAACTCATAGGGTATTTTATTTTTGCAAAGATAGGTTCTAAAATAAAAAAACAGATAGATTAATAACAATACACATAAAATAGATTAAAATCTAGGTCATGGCTCTCATTCACTGTCCTGGCATTAAAGATGTTACAAAGATACGCACATAGAGTGCTACCAAATATCCCAACTTTTATAGATATAGATGCAGTCAAAAAGTCTTTCTCTGATTTCAGCAAAGAGAAACCATCCAAATTTTATTCTTTGACTACTGAATGATTTAACTTTGGTACATGCATTACTAGTTCTCCCACTGTAGCAAATTTTAGTTTTCTCAAGGACTTTCCCCCGACTTCTGGAAATAAAGCATTTCCAACCTTCAAATTAAAATGTTATTCTGATAAATATATGTATCCGGTTGGTCTATTCACATGTAGGCTTTCCATTTTCAGGCTAAGCAAAGACATGCATTTAATGCTTTATTAACATTATTATACAAAAGACAATCTAACCTAATATGAAGAGAAATTGTGACCTTCTAATCAGTGTTTGATAGAGAAAAACATTGATTTTGACTTATCTTTTTAAAATTCAAATGTCATCCTGATCACTCATGGTTCAACATTCAAACAATAAACCAAAAATAAACAAATGTTAACGATTAGTCTTCAAACAGTATGCCAAGGATGCCCCCCTGGCCCGTGATCTTGCCAACGAAAGACCACGTCCGCACCTCTGGCCTCCAACCATTCAGCGGAGCTTCCTTAACCGGGAGCTGTCCTAAGCTTCCAGTTTGTGTGCTACTATTTTTTCAAACTTTGAATATCTGTAGGGATCTCAGCAGCGGCTGAAGAAACCAGCTCAGCCTTGGCATAGTGCCAAAATGTGGCCAACTGCGGCTCTGAGCCCTGTGCCAGGGCCTCCTCCGGGAAGTTACAGACACACTGGGCCATGGCTCTAGGAGGGGAAGTCTGTGGCCTCGAATGAAACATTTTTTCTTCATGGCATTCAAATTAAGAGGTTAAAATCAATGTTGTAAAAATGATATCTTATAATATACTTAATAAGATTATATGACTTCAAATACTAAAGTTTAAAATTTTAGATATTTTCACATCGGCCTGCAGACTGAAGTGTCCCGGTTTGATGCGGTCAAGGGCACATGCCTGGGTTATAGGCTTGATCCCCTGTAGGGGGCGTGCAGGAGGCAGCCTATCAATGATTTTCTCTCTCATCATTGATGTTTCTCTCTCTCTCTCCCTCTCCCTTCCTCTCTGAAATAAAAATAAATAAAAATACCTGCATATCAAAATATATTAAAATTAATTTTAAAGATATATGTATAACAGAAAAGAATTGATAGCTTGGGAGCGATCTTTGAATAACACTAAAAGTAATTATTTTCTTTTCTGCCTATTCGACCCAATAGTAGTTACTATCTCAGCTAGTCTAAATGAGTGATGTTAATGGGGTCTACTCACTTACATGCTTTGTTGTTGTTTTTGGAAGTTTTATGACATATACAATGATAAGCAAAATTAGATTGATAGGAGAGTCTTCACTTCTAAAGGAAAACAGAGAATGCTGGATGTTAGGTTACCTTCTGCTGTGCCATGTTGGTTTGATTGACAATACAGCCAACACTATCACCATGTCTCATCCTTAGGTGCTTGTATTCTTATACAGCAACACCTCTTTTGGATGTTGCCTTTTTTTTTTCTGATATTGGCCAGAAATTCAGAAGAATAAAATTGACCTCACGTCTTTTTGACTGTTAGGTAACACCAAAGGCTTGCTCTCCCTCCTCATAACCCATGACATGGCACTCTCAAACACTGAAGGATGTTCAAAACATAGATATAATTAACATGCTCCAAATATTCTTCACGTGCTACTGATATTATAAGAGCTGCCAGGGCCAGGGATCAAACCTGCAACCAAGGTACATGGCCTTGACTGGGAATTGAACCCATGACCCTTCTCTCTAATCACCGAGCCAAACCGGCCAGGGCCAACACAATTTTCTTGCAGAAAAGGCATTTGGCAAAATCTAACAACATTACATCAGTGATTTTCAACCAGTGTGCTGCAAGAATTTTTAAAACATGCACTACCTAACTAGTCAGGAGCACTGGTCGTTTTTCCCTTAGATTGTCAAATTTAAAAAATGACAACCGCCAACACAACAATAGCTGTCCAGTGTGAATGAATCAAAATTATACCTATTTTTGTCAGATCATCAAAAAAATATATTTTTGGGTGTGCTGCAGAAATTTATAATTAGTTTATGTGTGCCATGAGATGAAAAAGGTGTCCTATCATGTGACCATACAATTTTGGGGGGAAAATTAAGCAAAAAGAAAAAAGAAAAGAAAAGGAAGAAAAAGGATTTGTTTTTCTTGGTTCTAAAAATCAATGTTGAGACCTCCCAGTGCTTAACCACAGGCTGTGTTCTTACACTGCCTGCACAGAAAGAGGAGGCAGAGTAAACTCACCCCATATGCACCTCAGCCCAGGCCCTTTGCCTGGTCAGTATTGTGAATGGCCAGATTGTTTGCGTGTATGTGTGTGTGTGTGCGTGTGCGTGTGGATGTGTGTGTGTGTGTGTGTGTGTGTAGAGAGGTGGGGCGGGGGCGGGGAAGGGTTTAGTGTTTGACCAAAGTCTAGAATTAGCAAGAGAAGAATCTGACTGGCTGGTTCAGCTCATCTTCTCTTGCCACGCCTTAGCTATGGATGGACTGGCCTTGAGTCAGGGCATCGCCCTGGGCTAATCCATGGATCACACTGTATAGAAGATAGCCACCTAGGGACATCGGGTGGGGCAGAAGCAACACATCAGAGCTAAAGCCTTCCCTCTCACCAACACCCTCCCATTCCTCCCTCCCTGTCATCCATCCTGAGAATTACCCAGCCTCCCCTGGACCTCCCAGCTGCCAGGCTCTAGAAGGCTGAATGTCAGTTCAGCCTACTTCCCTTCCCAATGCCCTCCAGCTCTTCAACACCCCTCTCCTAACCCCACCCCCAGTTCTGTCCTGAAGAAGTTTGGAGAACAATCTGGGCTAGGGAAATCTAAAGTTCAGGGCTTTGTGCAATTAAGCTCAAGGCCTCTCACTGAACTAGGGGTGAATGACCCAGGGAGCATTCCTGTGGAAATGGTTTGAGGAAGCTGAGTCAACTAGGGTCTTTGGCAGGGAGGGCCCGGGCAATTGAGCCTCTGGAGGTCAATGCCCCAGTCTTCCGGTTGTACCCAAACCTCCACCTTAGGAGGGAATTGAGCCCTTGAGATTCCTGAGTCACTACATTGTCCTGCCAGAGAACTGTATTTGAGGAGGAAAGTAAAAGAGGGAGAGAACTCTGCTTGACACAAAATATGGGAAGATATTTTGAGGCGTTTTAAGACAGGAGTAGGGAGTCCTGGTACTGCTTCCTCAGATTGTATCTGTCCATCGGCCCAGGTCAGGGCGTCTCCTCTGCCCTCTCATGGTCCTCTCGCACTATCAGAGGCCTTCACTTGAACCTCACAGAGCCCTGAGCCAGGTCCTTTCTGCCTTTCTTCATTCCACCAAGGCTTTTTACTCACAGCCCTCTGACCCTCAGTTTCCTTATTTGTAAAATGGAAATAAAGCTGTCACTTACCTTCAGAGGGAGGTTGTAAGGCTGACATGAGATAAGGAACATATTGCATTTCCTACAGCACTGGGTGCACCTGAAGTGCTCAGTGGACCTTAGATGCTGCTGTTGTTGTGATTTGATATTATCATTCAAGCCACCACTTCTACGGAGCACTTGGCGTGTGTCCGGCCCTGTTCCAGGCACCTCAGGGCGCTGTGCTTGGCCTCAGATAGGTTTACATCTATTTGGAGAGAAAAGAAAAGTCATCAATCAATAAAATAGTTCATAAACAATTGGACAGTTTTAAAAAATTCAGCCCATATGCTTGTAAATCTCACAATGCTGCCTCTTTAATACCAGGTAATACAGCTTCCCTCTCCCCTTTGCTGCATCTTCTGCTGCTATTTGACTGGACAAACCCATCGTCAAGATGTGGTGGGCTGGGCAATGGATGGGAAGCTCACAGGGGCCTTGTCTGGCTTTTCCACCTAGTCCTTCCTTCCACATACCAAGCCACCAAAACCAGCAGTCAAGGCCTCAGCCCTGATTCTCCCACCCCCAGGGCCCCAGAGCCCGCGTCCAGCCAGATTCTTGGGGAGTAGGAGTTGTTGTCCGGTGGACGTGAGAACTTTGTCCCTACCACCACCCAAGAAGGCTCTTTGGGGGACATGGGGAATGTAAGACAGGAATGGGCCAGGGGCAAAGGATGGCTAAAGGTGTTTCTGGGAAGGAGGCAGGAGAGACCACACCTAGGGGACAGGGAGGAGTCAGGAACCTGGGAACTCAGCCAGCTGAGAGGATCAAACTTCAAATTCCTCTGATGAACTCTGAGACAGAAACTGTGAGCAAAGAGGCCTGAGGAGGGAGAGAGCCAGAGGGAAGATCCAGCCACTCTTCCTACCAGTCCTTTGGGAAAGGCTGGCCGTCAGCGGGACCGGGAGCCATCTACCTCAGGGCCCCGATCTGCCGGCCCTTCCTTGCCTTTCAGCACCTGCCAAGAACCGAGAACCGAGCCGGAGCGGGAGAGGAGATAATGGAGCCAGACAGGACTCAGATAAAGCTTGACCCCAGGTGAGTGAGGGCAGCCGGCCCTGAGCCAGGAGCCAGTTGCCAAGCAGCAGGAGGCCTCTATCTCTCTGGCCTGTCCCTCCGTCCCTCCCAGGACCCTTTGGTTCCCAGCAAACAGAATGAGACAGGACTGATAATGGTCTGGCTGTCCCTGAGGACACTCTGGGGTTGGGCCAGTGCATGTCCCTTCCAAGTCTTGGCTTTCTCTCCCCATTTGAGGAGAGGAATTTCCCAGAGTTAGGAGCTGAGGGAGAGGGTGTACGCACAGAGGCTCCACCTGCTGGGGAACCCAAGCCTAGTGCTAAGGGTCCACTCTTTCTCTGGGATCCTGCTCTTTCTCCCTAGCCAGCCCCTGGGCTGCTGCCCCAAGGGAAGGGAAGGGAATGGACTGTGGGCTCTTCGGGCACTACAGCCAGGCTGTCCATGACCTAATGGAACAGCAGGCTGCCTTGCACACTAGACAGGGCCCATTCCCCATTCCCTCCCAGAATCAGGTCCTTGAGGGGAAATGGACAAGCTCCCTGCACCCAGAAATGTTTGAGGGAGCGTCAAGTAACTGGTGTCCCTTCTGGTCCCCTCTCCTCTCCACAAGTCCCCATATCTGAACGCAGGCTGGTGTCTCTCCAGGTACACGGCAGATCTTCTGAAAATCCTGGAGACCAATTACAGCATCCCCTCTGCCTGCTTCTCTCACCCTCCCACTGCAGCCCAGCTTCTGAGAGGTGAGTCAGGAGGCAATAAAGGAGGAAGTGAGCGTCCGGAGGTAAGTCAGGACACTGAGAGGAACAGAGGAGAGGTGGCCCTGCACTGCCAGCCTGAGGGCCCGAGAGGATGGCTGGCCCAGTGCCTGTCTGTCACGTTAACACCTCGGAGAAGAACAGCCCCTCGAGGAGCCAATAGGCCAAAAGCGGGGCATGGCAACCTAGTCCCGGAGACAAACCTGCATGTTGGGCCTCCCACTTATCCTAGCCTCAATGCTCATTCAAACTGGGGCAGCGGCCTAGAGCATTTTTCAGACCCCGGACCATCCAGGGACTCAGGTTGCTGCCCAAATGATCCAAGCCCCGCAGAGTCCCCTGAGGCATACACAACAGCCTTCTTGGGGGGAAACCTATATCATTTGAGAGGTGTGGTTATTCTGAATAATGTTCTTAAAACTTGGGTGAGGCAGGCTGGTGTGGCTCAGTGGTGAGTGTTGACCTATGAACCAGGAAATTATGGTTTGATTCCCAGTCAAGGCACATGCCCGGGTTTGGGGCTCGATCCCCAGGAGAGGGCATGCAAGAGGCAGATGATCAATGATTCTCATCATTGATGTTTCTCTCTCTCTAAAATCAATGAAAACATGTTTTTAAAACACACTTAGATAAACCTGTAAGAGTATCCTGACAGTGCCGGCCACCTAGATTCCTATTACGGAATCGCTTTTGAAAGTGCAAGGCTGAGGATGGAACTCAGTTTATTCCCTGGACACACAGAACATGGCCATCAAATGACCCTTGCATCTTCCTGGCAAATGTGGCTCCCCCATATTTTATTGTGTTTTCCTACTGCGTGATTAACTACCTTTTATTTTATTAATTTTTGTGAGTTTATCTGAGCCAAGCTGACAACCTATGCTGGGGAGCGAGATCTCAAATGCTTCCCTTACCTACCTCTTAGACACTGAGGAATGGGAGCTGTGTCTCTATGGTACCGAAACGCTTTTCCCAGCCTCCTGCCTGATGTGTCACTTCAAGGAGTAGATTCTTTCTGAACAACAGGATGTGGTCAGTGTGCGCCAGGAGGCCACACGGGCATGCACTTGGGCAGCTTGTTGCATGTGCTCCGAACCACAGTGAATGCCAAGTGCCAGAAAGTATCCCAAGAAACCCCGTAGCTGCTCTGTGGTTCGCACCGGCGGCAGCTGCCACATTCAGCTCAGGGACCTGTTGCTAACGTGCAGCTGGCACACAAGTCTTCCCTTACTTACACCAGCGTTGTCAGCCAAAGTCAATTTTGCCCCCCAGGGGATTTTTGGCAACGTCTGGTGGCAGTTTCAAGTGTCACAACTAGAGGGTGCTACTGGGCATCTAGAGACCAGGAATCCTGGCCTGGAAACAAAGGAAAACCCCACAGCAAGGAATTCTCTTGGCGGAAGGGTCAGTAGAGCTGAGGGGCAGAAGCCCTCCCTTACACAGTGAACGTGAATCTCACACCGCTGGGCTACAAAATGTGCAAATAGAAACACCACGGATGTTCAAAGCAGGGAGACCCCTCTGGGCCTGGTAGTCTGACAGCTGCCTGTTCCCGGGCGAACTGTGGGCGTGGCAGCCGTTGAAGAGTGGGGAGCAGCGGTGGGCACTGCGGGGTGGGGAGGAGACAGAAGGAGCGGGCAGGTTCCCAGACACTGAGGAGCTGGATCTGGCCGGACTCCAGGTTGCAGGTGGGGACATCGGGGACAGTTGAGAGGCTGGGCAGGTAAGGTGGGGCCCAGTGAGTGCGGGGCAGAGGAGTTGTACTTTATCCTGCAGATGGAAGGAGCCTGGTGAGGGCTCTGAGGTTGGGAGGGGCTGGATATGCCTCAGGACCATTAATCAGTAATCAGAATGGACTTCAAGGAAGAAGAACCTTGAGAAGCAGGGGTATAAAGTGGGAGTTATCGCCCTAGCCCAGCAGAGGGACAAGAGTCTGAGTCAGCAATGTCAGGGACAGAAAGGGAAGGTTGGAAAGCACAGGCAATCCCACACCAGAGGAGGCACACTGGTAAACCAATATCTAGACAAAGTGAGTGAAGGGGGGAAAGGCCCTAATGATGACTCTGAGGATCTGGGCAATGGCGATGGCGAAGGAGCAGACAGAAGGAGCCTGCAGGTTCCCAGACACTGAGGAGCTGGATCTGGCCGGACTCCAGGTTGCAGGTGGGGACATCGGGGACAGTTGAGAGGCTGGGCAGGTAAGGTGGGGCCCAGTGAGTGCGGGGCAGAGGAGTTGTACTTTATCCTGCAGATGGAAGGAGCCTGGTGAGGGCTCTGAGGTTGGGAGGGGCTGGATATGCCTCAGGACCATTAATCAGTAATCAGAATGGACTTCAAGGAAGAAGAACCTTGAGAAGCAGGGGTATAAAGTGGGAGTTATCGCCCTAGCCCAGCAGAGGGACAAGAGTCTGAGTCAGCAATGTCAGGGACAGAAAGGGAAGGTTGGAAAACACAGGCAATCCCACGCCAGAGGAGGCAAACTGGTAAACCAATATCTAGACAACGTGCAGGGGGAAAAGGCCCTAATGATGGCTCTGAGGATCTGGGCAATGGCGATGGCGAAAGCGATGACACTGACAGAAATAGGGGAGTCGGGAAGAGGCTATTGGAGGGTGTGGAGAAGCCCCTTCCTTCTTCACCTGTACACTGTGTTGTTCCTTAAAATAAATGCTATTTAAGTAAGAGCTCTTCTGGAAGAACTACGGAACCTTTTAATAATCTATTTTTGAAATGCCTGTGATATGATTGCAATTATAATCCTTACAGCGT